TTAGGGGGTGGGAAAACCTCAGTGAGTGCGCGTGTAAACCCTCGTAGTGAGCGTCTAGATCGACGTGGCGGTTGATTCTGGTCGAGGAATTCTCGAGCCTGTCTGGTTTTAGCCATTGCGACTACTTCAGTACCGCCCCAACTGGAGCGGTGGTCATAATCAAGGGCGTGCGCAAACTCGAGATACAGATGGTCGCGTCGGCGTAGGGTTAACTTGTGTTCAATAATGCGAGTCCCATGACGTCGGCCTGTATGGCCAATATAAACACATGGGTAGTTGACGCATGGCCTACCGTATCTGCAACAGTGATAACTTGCTTAAGAAAGAACTAGCCTAATTACATCGGTTATTCCGGCCCAACGGATATCCGGCTAGTTTTGTAAAAAGATTGTCTCAGACGCCAGAGACAACCACCAAGACCTTATTCTAATGGAGATGGAGTGCCGCAGAAATTTTGTTCACTGTCGAACCTCCGACGTCATCTACTTAAACTACAGTTTATTATTGTTTGGTATTGCTGCCTGTATTTCAGTAACGTTTTTTTAACTTTATAATTATCTCGAGTCCACTGAATATGAATGTTGGCATTCAGTTCGTCTCTCTCAGAAACTGAAATCACATCAATAGTCTATAGCGCAATTATGCATAGACTGAATACTGTAAAACACATTTAGTAATGCTAACGTTTTTAACACTAGGAACAATTCGTTTATCCGACCGGTTTCGAAGAGATTCTGTAGCTGATTGATGTTTTCATTTCCAAAATTTTGATATTCGCTTCCTTGTAACAAACAGGGAGTCTAAACGTTCAACACGTACGTTTCCCTTAGATAAACTAAACTGAACTGAACCGAATTCAAAGCATTTCTGAAACACTCTCGGAACGATTAAAACACTTTGGCATTTCTGTCGTCCACAAGTCCGCATCTTCATTACCCGAAGCATTATGCCGAGTTAAGGACCCGATGCCCAAAGAAAAACTAGCTAATGTCATCTATCGAATCCCGTATTTACAATAAATCGGTGCCCACCCCTCTCACGCATCAGCTGTCTGTTTGTCTGTATGCCCTGTCGCGCCAACCAACCTGGTCTGCCGATTTCACTTTCTCCTCTGTTTATTTCGTCTGACGACGAATTGGCGTCATCAACTTGAAAATTCACGATCACAACTCGATTTTTCCGAAGAGCCTTCCCTTTTTCATTGCAAAGTATGTTTATCGGAACATAACGTTTTAGTAAACAAACCTAGCTATTAAAACCGAGGTAGTAGTATGAATTAATGGTACAGGAGACGCGCTCCCATAGCGTCTCCGAACTTGCTCGCCCCTTGTGCCTGGGGACCCCTACTCTTGAGCCCCGCCAGCAGTCCCACACCAGCGCATAATTGTATTACCGACAAAGGCAAGGGAGACTGAAGTAGCCATTTCTGACTTTTTAGACGACAGCAGTCGGCCATACCCAATCTCAATGAACATGACCTCCAGGGCTCGAACTCCAACCTCCGGGTTGGGTATGGCTGGCTGATGTCGCTCGACATGTTAGAAGTGGCCATTCCAGTCCCTCTTTTCTCTGCGGATAATGCTATTCTGGCAGTGGGCTTTTAGGCAGAATGATATTACCGACAAAGGCCAGGTAGACTGGAATGGCCATGCCTGGCTTATTAGCCGTCGTCAGCCAGTCATACCCAACCCCGAAGTGTAGAACACCCGAGGTTCGTACACGTGACCTGTTTTTTAGAAGTCCACGCCTCTAACCACTGAGCCACGAGCCCACTGCCCTGTCGGTTTTCGATCGGGAATATGCAATGGTAGGGGGCGCTCACCGATCGTTCTTACGGGACTCACTTGTTCCGTTGTGCCTTACGGGCTCTCTCTCTCTCGAGCCCAACCAGCAGCCGCACAGCGGCGCATGATATAGGCAGAATGGCAATACCGACAAAGACAAGGGAGACTGGAATGGTCATTTCTGGCTTATTAGCTGTCGCCAGCCAGTTGGTTATGAGTGGCTGACGACGGCTGATAAGTCAGAAATGGCCATTCCAGTCTCCCTTGTCTTTGTCAGTAATATCATTATGTCTATATCATGCGCCACTGTGCGGCTGCTGGTTGGGCTCGAGACAGAGCCCGTAAGGCACAACGGAACGAGCGAGTTCCGTAAGAACGATCGGTGAGCGCCCCCTACCATAGTGTGCTTTTATTTTCAACAGTGCCTTACTGGTAGTTTTGGGAGGTTTCTGGCTGACCTTTAACGAGTGGGTTTTCAAACAGGTCTTAAACACTCTCACAGTAGGGTAATTCATGACATACGTCGTAAAGAGGGACGTTGGTCAGTATGGCATAGTTCCCTTTTAAGCTAGCACTCGTGTCGTCTGAGGTTCTTCTTAGGTGCCCTCTCCAAAAGATTTTCCCAGTCCACGTCAAGGACTAGTCCTCGAAGCAGGTGAACCGTTACAACAAGGTCATCTCTGTTCTGTCTGAAGTGGATGGGGTAGCGGCGCTGCTTTTGAGTTCAGGAACAACCCTTGTATCACATCATTGTACATGTTTAAGAATATCTATGTCATTCCGAAGACACGGCCACCAAGTCCACACCTCGTATTTCAGGCGCGACCTCACAAATGTTCAAAATACTTTATCAAAGTTATCAGCATTCAGGTTTAGATATGATCAGTGTATCTCGTAGTTGACAATACCTGTACTGTGTTTTTATGTCTGATTCGTTTTTGACGAACGCTCCAATGTCGTTCTGCATATTTACTGTTTAAAATGGCTAATTTTCCATCAAATACTGATATAAAGGTCCGATTCTTCTTCGTCTTGAAGATATTATGTGCATCAGCATACACTTCTATGTATAGTCTATTTTAGGGTAATAGGCAGTGCCCTTGATGACCCTGTTGAAAACGGTACATACATTATAAATGCTAAATGCACATCTTACTAAACGTTTGTCAGTAACATATTTGTTTACGGAAACCGTTTTTATAGTGCGGGACTGCGAAGGTTGCGGCAGGTGGTCTTTTCAATGTACATATGAAATTTTAAGTGCAATTATATACAATCAGCATAAAGTGCAGTCATTTGCGTAGTTTCGAATGGAAAATTTAATTAAACGTCAGGGATGTGTTTCATGTGTGACACCATATCTAGCTCCAATCCCGCAGCTTTTCCATATTTTGTTCTAGTGCTGTACATGTCCCTGAAACGGGTCATACGATGGATGCGCTAGACCAACAAGGGGGTCACACTGGATCCTGGCAGGCGTTATCGGAATGCGCGCCACAACAAATGCCAGTAATCGGGGGTGGTCGCTGGTCCGTTTGTCGGTCCACGTCACGCTGATTGGGACCCCCGCCGCCCCCAATTGTTTGTTTTAGCCCAGGGGGGTGTGGGGGTACACCTAGGCGCGAGCCCGGCCGTGCCAGGCTTCTCCCCATTCTCGCCTTCGGTCTTCTTGCCTGCGTCTTGACACCGGGTCCAGTTGGGAGAGGAGGGGGTGCGGTAGATGCTGTGCAAGTCCACTACCGCTATAAACCAACTTACACATAAGTCACCGTGCATACTATCGTTCTACTGTTGATAGTTCGCTACTGGGAAGGCTGCTAACAAACCGAGTAACTCACTCCCCTCAGGACGGAGATTCAGGCCGAGACGACCCTTTAAGAGTGTGACCTCTACAAAATTTCAATTTATATGGGATCCGAGCGGCCCCTTTTCGTGAAAACCGCCCCCTATATGGATACCAGCTCGTGTGAGGAACGCGTAAACGGTGTGGTAGTGTTGTCAGGAATTGTGCCCGTATTCGCCTCTAGTCGCCCTAACTCTGTTCTGCCACCGGGATTTAAGGCGTGAAGGAAGAAGGAGGGTGGAAGGTCATAGGTCACTAAGGAAAAAACAAATTCGTATGCAAGTCACCATCCTGCGCTCATCACATTGCGGGGCACATGGTAGACAACTTAGGTCGCAACAATCGAACTGTGATTTGAGTATGTTTGTATCTCCCATTTGCGTTCCAGTCTGGTTTATTCACGTAGAATGATGTAACAGAAGGCGCGTTGCACGCGTAGATGGGGGCCTTCAACACCATGTCAGGCTCGGCGACCATTTCCATTACCGGCCGGCCAAGTCCTGGACGGGCTAGTGCGACAGGAGAGAGGGCATAACAAGGTTGATTAGGAGGTATTCCCATTGAAAATCAGTTTACTCCGCACGATGAAAGTGTATGCGTTTTCTAATCTATCCTGGAGAACCAGAAGTGGCGGCTTTGTAAAATGTCAGCTAGCAGGGGACCTCGGTCCCCATCTGGAACAAGAACCAAGCCACGTTGACCTAATCATATGGCCTCTTCATATATATGCCGGATTCAAGTCCCGTGTGACACGAGTTAAGCGACAAATCCATATCCTGTCAGTTACGGACCCCAGCCTCCAGTCCGATCAGGCACCTCTGACAGGCCCTTTTCGTTTGGGACAGCAAAGAGGAAGAAGAGAGAGGGAGTTCAATCCAGTGTTTAAAATCCATATTAGGAACAATCAAACGCGCTTTAGAACCACCATGACGCCTTAAAGGCCCTGGCTTAGAACGTTGATGGGGTACCTCAGTCATCTCTCGAATGGCTCCTTTTGAATGTGCCCTCTAGAGCCTGGCACGCGTGGAAGTGGGACCAGTTCATGTCTGCTGTCCGACAGGGACTCGTCAACCCTGCCTGCCATCGTGCCCACGCGCACCTCCGGTCAGTACAGTAAGTGGGCTAACTCATGAAATCTCAGCAGAAATTCCGAAATTCGTTTCAGTTTCGAAAAGATCAATTAAGTAGGATTGTAAGGCTAATCATACTGAGGCCATACTGAGGCAAATTCAGCTGCGCTGGAGCGGCCACCTGGTGCGCATGGACGACGAGCGACTACCCAAACGACTCTTCTACGGAGACGTCGCGACGGGTTCTCGCCGTCAAGGAGGCCAGATTCGCCGTTACAAGGATACCCTGAAGTCCTACCTGAAATGCCTGCAAATCAACCCCACCAACTGGGAGGAGCTCGCACTCGGTCGACGACCTGGAGGAGGACAGTGAAGACAGGCGCTGCGATCTACGAAGCCAACCGCATCGCTGCCGCCAAAGCGAAACGTGAAGCCCGCAAATCACAACTTCGCCCAGTAAGCAACGCCGCCAAACAACCGCTTCCAACATGTGCTCGATGTCAACGGACATTCCGGGCTCGAATCGGACTTGTTGGACATCTTCGGATTAACTGTGCCTCTCGAACGGGACCAACCATCGTCCCCCCGCCTGCCTCTTCCTCCTCCTCTCCACCGCCAACTAACCCTGACAATTCTTCTGACCCACCCCTTCCATCATCCTCCTCCTCCTCCACCTCGCCCACTGCTCCAACGGCGGCCGCTCAGGCGACTGTCCCGCGCACAGCAACCGACACTACCACCACCTCCCCCGACTCCAGGGATGAGGATCAGGACTACACCTGGCCTCACTGCGACCGTACCTTCGCCTCACACAACGGCCTGGTCGGTCACTTGCGAATCCACCGCACAAAGACTGGCGAACCAGTGCGTTAAGCACCAACCTACACCCACCGCACTCGCCTCCACTGCCCACACTGCCCTCGCACCTTCAGGCATCGCATGGGCCTTTTCGGCCACATGCGCATTCACGAGAGCGGCCTTCACCGCACTGCCGACACACCCACCACATCCATCGTGCACAACCCCACCCTCGTTCCATCCGTCCGCGTCACCACAACCACCACCGCCTCCTCTGTAGCTGACACTGACACCGCCGACTTCTCATGCCCACACTGTCCACACACATTCACCTCACGCATCGGCCTGGTCGGTCACTTGCGAATCCATCGCACAGAGACTGGCGAACCGGTGCCTGGAGCACCCACCTATGCCCACCAAGCTCGTCTCAACTGCCTACACTGTCCTCGCACTTTCAGGCATCGCATGGGCCTATTCGGCCACATGCGCATCCACGACGACCTGCGGTAGACAACCGCCGGCCACACCACACATCCACTCACTCCCTACCTCCTCCACCACCACCATCACCCCACCAGAAATCAACACACACACACCTCATGCACCAACTGCCACCTCCCACGCAAGTGGGAAGTCCGCATCTCGACTCGGTCCCCATGCGGCTTCGGCTGCACGGGTGACTTGAGTCCGAGACTATCTCGAAACTTCAAGCGTCGTGGATAGGAAGGTTGCTGATTGACGCCCGCTCTCGGTTCACGCAGTTCGTCGCTTTGTGTGTGTGTTGTGTGGAGTGGCGGACTGGTGGGCTGGGAACGCGCTGAAACAGCACCTTCCCCGGCACTCTCACGCAAGTGAGAGACACGCCGTTCAACCCCCGTTGTGTGAAATCCTGGTGTTGTGTGTATGGGGGGCCAGGTCGTGCCGTGGCGCGCGCAGTCATGGTCAGTCGACCATGACAGCCACCGCGCCCATTCCCCACTCCAGTCTGCTGACCGGCTCGGACAGCGGCTGGGGTGTGGGATTGGGAAGGGAGAATGAGGTCGACGACTCAGCGCACTTTCTCCTCACTATAAACAATCTGACGCGCTAAAAGCCGTGGCTTGGAAGGTTGCCAACTGACGGGGTAACTTGGACCTCCTCCTTGACCGGAGGCGGTCTGAGAGTCAGGCTGCAATGGCTCCTTTTTAATGTGGCCTTTATGGCACTCGCATCACAGTGTGGGATCCGAGCCAGGCGTTGGCGGCACGCCCAGGTGCGGCTTCGGTCGTGCCAGCCTCCAAATCTCTCTTGTGTTGGTTGAAATCCTGGTTATTTGTTGTGTAGACCAGGGAATGTGGTGGAACGCCAAGGTGAGGATCCGTCCGAGCCATCCACCTGCGCCCTCTCTCGTCTCCGGTCTTCTTGACTCTGTCTTGACACCGGGCTCGGGCGAGGGAGGAGGAGAGAGTGTAGGTAGATGCTACGCAAGTCTACCGGCACTATAAACCCCTGCGTAAGTCACCGTCCCTGCTTCCATTGCTGCTGCAACTGTGGGGCACACGGTGGACATCATCGAAACCGATGATCGAACTGTCAAGGCTAATCATTGTGCAGCGTAATTATACAACAATTCAGTTACCTTAGGACGCCGGCTTTCGAACAAGCCCCTTTTTAGCTGCATCCAAAAACCGTACTCAGTAAAAAATGACTACTTAAGTAGCGTGCATTTTTTTCATTGATTTTCGATGCCCATAAAGATTCAGTTATATTTCATGGCAAACATGCATACAAATAATCATTTTTCTGCTCATTCAGTAGAAAATGACGTCTCTTTTTAACGTTCTTCTTGAAGGAAGTGCATAATTCGGTTTTCAAAATCTTTTCCAATTTCCGAATAATTTTGAACCCAACCTGCCGATACACCTGCATTCAGGGTTCCCAAACTACAAGCCGTATAATTTACGCGTACGGAAAACCATACATTTCTCTATGGTAACAAAGGGAGACCCGATAGGGTTTATAAAATTAAACAGTGGATTTGAGCCACATTGGTAAATGCAGAGACATGCCGTTTTATGAAGGGCCATTTTACGGTATTAAAAACAATTAGAAACTTTTTAAAACCGAATTATACCCTCCCTTCGAGTGTAAAATTTAAACAGAACGTAATTTTCTACCGAATGAGCAAAAGGATGAACACTTTTCTGCGTGTTTTCCATGAAATACAATTGAATCTTTAAGGGCATCGAAACTCAATGAAAAAATGCATGCTACTTAAGCAGTCATTTTTTACGGAGTATGGTTTTTGGATGCGGCCGAAAAGAAGTTTGTTCGAAAGCCGGCGTCCTGTGGTAATTGAATTTTTATGGAATTATGCTGCAAGATGATTGGTCTTGCAACCTTACTTAATTAATCTTTTCGGAACGGAAACGCATTTCGGAATTTCTGCTGAGATTTCATGATTTGGCCCACCAACTGTACAAGCCTGTTTAACTACAAACAGCCCCAAAAATAAGTCACCACTACCACATCCTCATAAGCCAGTGATGGACTTCGTCGCAGGCGAACTTCCAAAAACAACAGTTGTTGAATCTCGATGACGTGTGGGTGTAGAGCAGAAAAAGTACAGCCAGAGCGTGATATCACGGACGCATTCTACAAGACCTGGGTCAGATATGCGATCAAGAGAAGGTTTAGGCTCTCTTAAGAAGTATTTAGAGATCCTGTGTGCCAGTATTCATGCATATATTGGCCTAGAGATAAGTAGGTTTTCCGTCAGACATCTCAGTATCGTTGTAAGGTCACTGATATCCACTGCCACTTTAATTTAGTACTCCGATCTTCATTGATTCTTTTTATTGTCAGCCGTCATCAGTGGTTAAAAAAATTCCAGCGTGAACCGTGCTCTAGAGTTGCATTGCAGGTCACGGGGTGAAAATGTACTTGCGAAGTATACGCACGGTGTGCACGCCTACGTGCCTCCGTCGTGAGCACACGTCAGCAAGAAACACCCACTGATACAGGCTTCGATTTGTCTGTCTGTCGAGGCAGCGCGCATTTCTGAAAACCATGGCATTGCTGAAAAACAGATTTGGGGAATGTGTAAAACGGCTCAGCAAGTTCGCACATAGAGCCTGCATGTGACCACAGGTCGGAGTTATTAATAGTAACTTTCCCCGAAATTGATGCTGAAGTTTATCCCCAGAGTGAAGGATTACAGCTGTCCAAATTCAGGGCTGATGAGGCTTTTACAGGAATCATAAGAGTCCGGTGAATAAAATCCCTGTTGCATAGATTGCAGCTTCTTCTTGCGAATTGCTGTAGGTCAGAGCTCACTTCTAAAAGTGTAAAACGCAATCGAAAAGTTTATTCTCTTTATAAGTTGCATGGTATCCTGAGACCATCTGTCATGAATGAAGGCGAAATTTCGAGTTCCAGGTGTATGCATAAGTGAAGAAGAAGGGTCGAGCACCGGAACAAACATTCTTCACTCGTGCGGGAGAGACCTATGAACAAATCGAGGGAATCCCAATGGGCTCACTGGTCTCCGGTTTAGTGGCAGAACTGGTCCTACAGGAGTTAGAAAAGATTGCCTTCATCCATCATAAGCCGGTATTTTGGCGCCGTTACGTAGAAGACACGTTCGTCATCGTAAAGAAGGACATGCTGCAACGTTTCCACAGCCTGCTCAACACAGTCCTCCCTGATATAAAATTTACGAGGGAAGAAGAACAGGAACAGCAGTTGCCTTTCCTGGATGTGCTTGTCAGACGAAACCTTAACGGTGAACTTGAAACGACGGTTTATAGGGAGGCAACGAACACCACACAGTTTCTCAGTTTTCACAGCAACCATCCGGTGGCTCACAAATGAAGCTGTGTGAAGACGCTCTTCAAACGAATCCGAACTCATTGCGGTAAATCAGAAAAACGAGCACGTGAGACTGGTTATCTCCGCAACCAGTTTTTGCGAAACGGCTATCCGAAGGCATTCATAAGTCACTGCCTACGAGGTCGCCCCCAGAGGACATAAACATCGACACCAACAACGATATGGAATTCACTGCCATACATCAAGGGCGTTTCAGAAGCAACCGAGTGCACTGCTGCGGAGCTAGGCGTTGGAATTGTACACCGTCACAAAGCCACCATGCGCAGTAGAGTTATGAAAATTAAAGACCGGTTAAAGCTTGGGGAGAAATCTGGAGTGGTGCATCGCATCTTGTGTAAAAACTGTCCTTATAACTACACAGGGCAGACTGGGCGCACGCTCGGATCGCGCATGCACGAACACAAGCTGGCTGTCCGACGTGACAAGGCATTATCACAAGTGACCGCCCACGCCTATGAAATGAGTCATGGGTTTAACTTTACAGACATCAAAGCAGTCGCTCACACCGGAAATAAAACAGGCCGTGAATTGAGTGAAGCCTGGGCCTCGGATGAGAACTCAGTCAATAGATTTATCGATCTGGCGCCGGCGCACAGAGCCCTGCACAGTCACCTACAGTCTTGCGCCATCGGTCGATGATTGGCCTACACGCCCTATAACTGTCGCTTGTTCTGTTGTTGTTACTACCTCTGACGATGGACTCCTGCATGAGTCTGAATGCTCAGGGCAATCAATGAAGTGTTACGGTGCTCGACCCTTCTCCTTCACTATCTGTCATCATTGCGTGCTTTCAGCGCTACCATAAACATCTGCTGGCCGCGTATCCAAACAACGGACAGTCAGGCAGGCTACATTCTAGTTGGCTTAAGGTTCCGCAACTGGATACACTATATCACATCAATACGTGGTGGCGTGGAGCTCCTAGGTCTGGCCATGTTCTCGTTCGCACACGTTCATCCCTCTTCTACATCCCGGATGTCACATGTACGTCGTCTTAAAACGATGTCATAAAACTTCCATAAACCAGCACCACCGGGGAGCTGAGCAGATAAGTCTGGTCCTGCTTTACGAGCCGAGTCGACGGAGAAGGCAATGACTAATGGTCATCATAGAAGTCATTCGTCCTTGAAACCCCCCAACAACGTCACAGTGACTGGATCAGCGGAAGAATCCTGCAGTTGTCTGCCAGGTGCTTCCTCCAGCCAGCTCCGCAAAATGACGACCAAGAAGGCAAGGAATGACCAGCAGAACTACAGTGCTGAAACAGCGACCTCCATGGAACAGGCCTTAAGCGTCGGTGACACTCGATACCCCTACCAAACTATCCGTGAATTTAGTAATAAACCCTTGATACTTAGTGACTCTGTTGGCGATACTAATGGCGGTTTTATGGCTGAAAACTCGGCCGGTCGCTGGAGTGAGTATTTCGAGCATCGCCTCAACTTTAATGAGCAACCTATTACACCTCCGCTCTCCTCTTCAGCGCAGTTCCATCCCTCTCCAGTCCTTACAGAGTCGTGCGAACCACCCCCCCCCCTGAGGAAGTTGCCGACGCAGTAGAGGTTGCACAATTACAAGGTGTCGAGGTGGATATTCTTGCCGAAATCTACTAGTTTTGCGTTGACACACTGGCGCCTTGG